TGAGAGATTGAGAGGAGAATGTGACACTAACACACTGATTTTTCTTAATCAAGGGTTGGCGAAGAGTTGTGGCTAGTTGATTATGAGTAGGTTGAGGTTAATCTGTGAGACTGTTTTTGAGTATAGATCATTTAGTGTTATTGTGTATATGAGGTCGTGTGATGCAGTTGATTGATAGTCGCATTGTGGAAGTTTTAGCTGGCTTGTGTAATGTTAGTGATCATATTTGTGTTGTGATTATACTCGAACCGGGATAAGGAAGTGTAAGGGGTTATTTTTGTTTATTGTCATGTCATTTCAGTAGAGAAATGGGTTTATGATATAGTAGTGGATTGAATTTATGAGTTTTGGACTGTTTGATGACCTTGATGTGTTTGATCATTATTGATGTTGAAGTGTTGAACTATCACCTAAAACTGAGCTATGGAGGAAGTTTGATGGGATTTTTCTCTGATTCTTTGTCGATCGTTGATGAGGAAATGTTGCAGTATTGAATATGATGGATTTTGGATTGACTTCATGGGAGTTGTACTTTTTAGTTTAGTTCTGAATTATGTTAGCTTGATAGATCATGCTTCGTGAAGCTGCACTGATGATGTAAATGATACATCAATGAGAGATACATCAATGAGGGGGACTGAGCTCTTTTCCGAAATTATTAGTTGCTTTTCTTTTTGTAGACTTTTTTTATTTTTTTATTTTTTTATTGGAAATATGTAATCTGAGTCATGTGATCCAATTTGGCACCTAAACCAAGCAATGGTGGGGATATGTATGTTATTTGTGTGTTAAGGTAGTGTTGACAGCAATATGTACTTTTGAAATACTTTGTTGTTCCAATTTGAAATATGAAATTTTTTAAAATTCTTATGTATTCAACACACTATATTCTAGTAATTGAGGAGACATCTCAGGGCATCTAGGTGAAGCATTCCTACTTTTAGTGGTTTAAATGCTGTATTAGGTTCTGAGCATAGGATGTGGTGTTGATGATGTTTGAACTTTGATCAGAATTTGTTAATGCAGCTTGATTATTTTTTTGTTTTATTACGATGGGATTAAGAGTGGTTGGTGTTGGAGTATGTAGACGCAGTATATGAGAGGAGAAATTTGACACTAACACTCTGAAGTCTCTGATGTTCTTAATCAAGGTGTTGAGATTTTGCCAAGTAGGTTATGATTAGGTTGTGTTAGTATATGAGTCTATTGAGTATAAATTATTTATTTATTTATATACAAGGCGTTGTGATTTGGTCGATTTGTAGTCAGATTATGGAGGTTTTGGCTGGCTCGTCTATTGTCAGGGATCAGATTTGTGTTGTGATTCCACTTGAATTGAGCTTAGGAAGTTTGTGGGTTATTTAAGTTTATTTATTGGTTCGGTAGAGAAATGGGTTTATGACATAGAGGTGCCGAATTTGGTAGGTGTTCTTGATGCATTATATTGGAAAGATGTTTTACTGAGCGAGGTTGTTTGTTTTGATGAGTTTTGGATTGGCTAATGACCTTAATGTTGAATTTGATATGTATGTAGTTGCACTCTGAATTCCTTGATTGGAAATGTGTGATTTCAACATCATAATTGATGTTGAAATTTTACCTAAAACTGAACTATGGAGGAAGTTTGATGTGGTTTTTCTGTGATTTTTTGTTGACTCTTGATAAAGAAATATTTTGATGCTGGATATGATGGATTTTGGATTGAATTCATGGGAAGTTTTCGTTTTTAGTTCAGTCCTGTGTTCTTTTAGCATTAAGATTGTGCTTCATTAAGCTGTGCTGGTGATTTTAATGATACAGCAATGAGGATGACAAAGCCCTGTTCTGAAACTATAATTTTTTTATTTTTCTACTTTATAAATTTTTTATTGGAAATATATAATCCAAGTGATGTGATATAAATCAGCATTGATTTCCTTGCATTAACCCTAAACTAATCAGTGACGGAGATCTGCAATTTGTTAGGGTTAAGATAGTGTTCAACATTATATTCCTACCTTTTGTATGTTAGCATGTTCTATGAGGTTCTTCTTCTGGGCTGTTCTGTTATGGGTTTTTTGATAGTCATAATAATTTCTGTTGGAGAGGCTTTGACGTTCCTTGTCTTGGAGAGTCTCAATTTCTGTCAAAGTGTCTGTTATATTGTTGATCCCTGGGATACTTGTTTATGCATTAATTTGAGCAGAACTTACTAAAGTAAAAAGTGATGAGTGGCGCTTTTTTGAAGTGTATGTTATTTATCTTACTCTGATTTATGCTCATTAGTCATTAATCTGTTTCCCAGTGGCCAAGAGGACGTCTGTCTTTGATGACCCAACTCTTGAAATTCAAGAGCTGACTGCAGTTATCAAGCAAGACATTACTGCGCTTAATTCAGCTGTAGTAGATCTGCAGCTTCTGTGCAACACCCAAAATGAGAGTGGAAATATTTCTAGTGACACCACTAGTCATTCTACCACAGTGGTAGATAACCTTAAGAACCGTCTTATGACAGCCACCAAGGAGTTTAAGGAGGTTCTTACCATGCGAACTGAGGTATGGTGTTTGGCAATGAATTATGTGGTGCTTTACTCTATGTAATGAATGTCATGATTTCAACTTACCCCGCCTTTTTTTTGGGATGTGCAGAATTTAAAGGTTCATGAGAATAGAAGGCAACTGTATTCGTCAACTGCATCAAAAGAGCCTGCAAATCCTTTCGTCCGTCAGCGGCCATTGGCTGCCAAATCACCCAATGGACCCTCTGCTCCTCCATGGGCTAATGCGGCTTCAACTTCATCCGCTTTGTTTCCAAAGTAAGTATTCTGAAGCTGTAGCTCTCATGTGAAGCTGGTGTCTTTCTATCATAATTATATAGCAGTGTTTCTATTCTTCTCTGTGTAGTTTGCAAACATTATCCATTGAATTTCCATTAAACTCGAATCTTTCTTTGTTAATGCCTATTTGATTCAATATTTTGTAGCATCATAGTCAGTCTTTAAAGCTATAATAGAAGATGCATGGGCCAAAGAGGCAAAGAGGTCAACATTATTTTCTTGAATAACAAATGTTTTTCAGAACTTTATATTTATATGGTTGTCAAAATGTGCTAATGATTGGGACTTGAGTACTTCCCCTTCATGCAGTAAACTGCATCTGAGAAACTAGAATTGCATAGCCTTTTTGTCTAACTGAATTGGTACTGAGGCTCTCTTTTTTGTCCTTTTGATATGTTCACGTGATGTTAGGCTATTTTCATATTGGCAACTTTATAGAATAACCAAGGATAAGAATTAGGAGTTGACATCAGACTTTCATCTTCAAAGAATTTTGCTTTACCTTTTGTGCATATTATGAATCCTGTTAATGGATTGCATCTGCTGTGCGCTGAAGAGTATAGACTGAGGGCTCTATTCTGATCTACTATTACTTAGCTCTTTTCTTACTGTTAGATAAGAAAAGTAGAAAATTTTATTGATGATTATCATTCAACTCAAGTTGATGTGCTGCAGGAGCAAGTGATACACAGAAGTATAATTTACTTATCTTTGTAAATTCTTTCTCTATGTAAATTAATAGAAATGAGTAACCCACTTCTGTTTCTTTCAAGCATTCGTATAACTTAATTAGTTAAGGTGCTGACTTCATTGTTCTTTATTTTGCAGAAAGTCAGCTGAGGGGGACTCTCAGCCATTGTTGCAACAACAGAATCAACAACAGCAACAGATGGTTCCATTACAGGACACTTATATGCAGAGCAGAGCTGAAGCACTTCAAAATGTGGAGTCTACAATTCACGAATTGAGTAATATTTTTACACAATTGGCAACAATGGTGTCACAGCAAGGAGAGATTGCAATCAGGTTTGCATCCTGTAGCTTAAGATTTCTGTTTTGACTGAAACAAATATGTGCTAATGATTGGCTTGTCTCTGTAGTTGACTCTCAAGTTATTTTAAATATCTAAAGCACTTAGTTTTTGCTTGTATTCATTTATTGGATCTTTTGCTGAACCTTGATTAAATGATGCTGTAACTGTCAAGTTGACTGCCTTTTTAAGTTGATGAGATATGGTTATAGCACAACCTTGCTTTTTATTTGCCGATCCTCGACTCCTCTCTATGATTAACAAATTTTTATTTTGTTTTTCTTCTGTTCAAGATCAACCACAAGTATTCACCTTTACACGGTACAGTATCTGTTGGCGAAGGCCATAGTTATACCAACTTCTGAAAAAGAAAAACCCTTCAAATATTTAATCTTTTTCACTGTCTCCTAGCCCTAAAAGTACACACTTGATATAATGATATACCATTTGCCTGCTGTATGAGCAAAAAAAGATCTTACTGATATATGAAACAACTTTACTACATACTTATATGATTATATCTGTAAGATGCATTTTCTTGGGAAAGTTGGCATGCTTCTCCAATGTAAATCTGAATTTGTGATCTGACCTGGATTCTGCATTATTGCAGGATTGACGAGAACATGGAGGATACTCTTGCAAATGTTGAAGGGGCTCAGAACCAGTTGGTCAGGTACTATAACAGTATATCCTCAAACAGATGGCTGATGATCAAGATATTCTTTGTATTGATAGTATTTCTGATGTTTTTCCTATTTTTTGTTGCATAAATGTCATTCATAGAACCTTTTTGGCTGAGTATATACGTTGAAAAAATTTCAAATGAACAATAAAGAAAGTTGTCATTGTAGATTGGGCTTGCCCCTTATTTTAGATTGCTTTATTTCTTCCTTTTTTTTTTGTTTGTTTTCTATTTCTTGGAGGGAAGAGAATAGTGTGTGGCTAAGTTGAAATATTGAAACAGGTAATTTTTCGGCAGAACAATATGTAATATCTACGAATGTTGTAAACATTGCTAATTACTAGATGAAAGGCTCTCTTATCTTACTGTTTCTGCTATTTCAATTTTCGACATCTTCATATTATGTTTCTGATTACATCTAGTCATGGCAGTCTTGGTTTGCTGCCACAGATACAGTAGTGGATGCTCGAACAAAGTGTTTTGACTGTGAATTCTGTGCATAAATTGTTTCGAGAAATAACTGTGACAAATTGTGCAGAAATTTGAAAAATCTTACTGGTAAATTATACAAATCTTATCTGATATTTGTAGGTGTTTAGTTTGTTGAACCATTATTTGGTTTTTTTTGGGAGTCCCACGCTTAGTGCCCTATATTAATTGCACTTTATTTGAAATGAACATGACTTTTATCAAATATGAATAGCATGTTCAATTCAAATTAAAAAGCATAAGATTATTTATTTTGTATTGTATAATGTATATGGTTTGGGGCCTAAAACATTGCCAATAACTAGTCATTGGGGTAATTGATTTCCTGTCATGTTAAGGTGGTAATGTTATTTGTATTTTTAATTTAACATGGTTAGATCAATTGGCCTCAATTAAAGGCTCTTATCATAGGAAGTCTATCCGGCAATGCCCAGAAGGATAGGGAGATGGGATCTGTGCTTGATGAGAATTGAACCTCACACCTCAAGGATGTGAGGTGACCTCTAGGCCACTGATCCAAGAGGTATGAGAGTATGAGACTATGAGTGTGACAGATGTTACATAATGCACATCAAGACACCACAAGAATTAAATTCGCCATATGATAAAATTTGTTTGAAATGTATGGAGTAGCTTATGGATAGGTCACGAAGTTAACTCAAACCGATGTGTCAAAAAAAAAAAAAAAAAAAAAAAACCCAAACCGAAATGTTTATCAAGAGTTTGGAAACTGCCTACTTTGTACGGAGTACAATTATATTGTATATATAACTTTTTTTTTTTTAAAAGAAATAATTTATATATGTATATAAAACCTATAAACCTAAGATTCCTAATCACCCATATTTCCTTAAAAGTAAATTACTCACTCCGTATCAAATTAACAGTAACATTTGGCTTTTACAGTTTTCAAATCTTTACATCTCTAATTAACTAATGTTTTAAAAAAAAAAAATCAAAATAGATCCATCACACTAAACTATTCGTATATTTGTTCTTCTATACTCCGTACTTCTTATTAGTAATAAAATACGGTCAAAGTTTATACTTATAATTGAACTTCATAAAATGATAAAATCAATAACTAGGGACAAGGTAGTAATAATACTCCTTCCAAAACAAGAAGAGCACAACAACAGCGTAACGGTCCCGAACGTTACTTTCCAAAATTCAAAATCACCCCCCTTTCAAATAAGCGGGACTCCCGTTTTTTCTCTCTCTCCTCACATTCAAAAACTTACCTCCTTCCTCTTCAGATCTCAAATATAACGTCCATTTTTTTTCTCCCTGAAACTTCACCTCCTCTTCTTCTTCTTCACTCGAGCTTTTCACCTTCATCAATGGCGACTCTTACCCCAGGAATCCTCCTTAAACTCCTTCAATCCATGAACACCAACGCCAAACCCACCGGCGAACACCGCTCTGCTCTTCTCCAAGTCATCGGAATCCTCCCAACTTTACCCTCTAATTCTCTATCCAACACTGCAACTACTACTCCCACTTCTAACCTCGACCTCTGGCCTAACCATGGCTTCCTTCTTCAGCTCTCCGACTCCAAGAACTCAACCTACATTTCCCTCTCTGATCGTGACACCGATCTCATCCTCTCTAATCGAATTCAATTGGGTCAATTCGTTTACCTCGATCGATTCGTGTTCGACCCTTCTTCTCCGATTCCTTTTGCTACCGGAATCCGACCCGTTTCCGGGAGACACCCCTTTATTGGGTCGCCGGAGCCGTTAACCATTCGGGCTTCCAAGGAGAAGAGGGATTTCGTCATTCAGCCTGTTTCGGATTCTAATGACTCAATTGACCCAATTTTATCGCTTCTTCAGAAGAAGGGGAGGAAGGATAAGGAAGATTATAATAACAATAGTAACAAGGAGAATTTAGGGGTGACCCCACAAAGATTCACTTCTCCGGCGCCGGCGAAGAGGTCGGTATCGGCGGGGAGGAGAGAGAAAGTCAAAGAGAGGGACCCTTCTCCGGCGACGACTAAAGTCAAGAGGTCAGCATCACCGGTTCCATCAAAATGTGTGGTACCGAGTTTGGCCGAGGCGAAGGCAGCGGAGGAAGGGAGGAAAGCGGGAAGAGAGGCGGCTATCGTTGTGCCGTCTCGGTATCGGCAACCATCACCAACAGCAGGGAGAAGGGCCGCATCACCGGCTTCAAGGAGGATGTCGTTGTCGCCGGCTAGGAGATTGTCTGGTGGTGGAGGAAGTTCAGGGAATAGGAAGAAGAGTATTAATGGTGGGATTATAAGTGGAATTGGGAGTTTGAAGGTTTCTGAGGGTAGTTTGGGAAAAAGTGGTAGTGGTGGAGGAAGGAAGAGTTGGGGTAATGAAGGTGAGGTTAAAGAAAAGAGTAGTAATGTGAAGAGTAATAAGCCTGATTTGCAAGCTCTTATTCGAACTCAGGTACTGTTTTAATTTGATCAATTTTAGTTTATGACTTTATGCTTTGATTTTGATTTGTTTTAAATTATCATATTGTTTCTAATTTATTGTTAAGAGTTTGTACGAAATTTAAGTTTATATAGTAGCTAATTAGCTTTATTATTTCATGACTATTGCTAATTGTAATTCTTGGGGGTTTTAATGTTCAGAATATGATCTTTCATGTTTATATTAATGGATGGCAAATGAAAATAAAATAGTGTCTTTTTGTAATTGTAGATTAATAGTGGCCTACTAGAATTCAAAACAACCCTCTTTTAAAAATAGCAAATGCTTCTAAAGATTAGGAGAGTCTTACAGCTATCGGCCTTGGCCATGATTGCGTCTTCATTCTGTACTGACTTGTATTAGTTAAGTTGATGTGTGATAAGTAATTCTATGATGTGTGAGCCTAGAAGTAAATTTACTTTGGCAATGAACTTATTTCTCTGTATATGTTCAATAAACTGCATCAGTAAGTAGTGTTTGCAACGCTAAACTGGAATCAGTAAGAATTTTTTGCAATGATACACAAGCATGTAGATGATGTTGAGTTTTTGGTTTCTTTTGTTGAGATATATCCCTTTCAATCCTAAAATAATACTTATCATGATCTCATTTCATTGTTTGTTGACACTTGACAGTATGGTATTTTAAATGCTTTTGCTTCCAAGCTTATTGTTCATGCCTTCATAACCCTCATACTATATAATTGAACTGAATCTTTCCTGACGGTGCTAAATGTTTCAGGCTGCTTTGTCTCGCCGTTTAAGTGATGTACATAGTCATGAATCAAAGGATGATGCTACTTCTGATAGCAAGTCCAAATCTAGCACCCCTGATGAATTTGTCACACCTGACAAGCCATTTGCTTTAGCTGCTGGAATCACCATTCACGATAAGAAATGGACTGATGGTAGCGTGCCACTAGATGCTGTATCAGGCAGCCTTGCAAAGCTTGGGAAGGTAGGAAGCTTTTTAAATTCTCTTTTTTTCTTTATGAACTGCAGAGGTTCTCAATTTGTGCATATGTTTGCAATAATTGTAGGAAGCTATCCAAAGGAGGGCTATTGCTGCAACTGCGGCAGCTGAAGCTTTGCAAGAAGCATTGGCTACTGAGTCTATTGTAAGGAGTTTGAGGTAAGTTAATCTTTAACACACTGATGTGTCCGTTTTTTTTTTCCATTTTAGATGGAACTTGTATCAATAATAAATTGTGACATGATTCTTCATTTTGTATTTTCAGCATGTTTTCAGATCTTTGCTCTTCATCAAAAGCTGGAAACCCTTTACCTACAATAGACAGATTCTTATCCATGTATGAAAATGCCTCACGAGCAGCTGCCAATGTCGAGTCAGTTTCATTTAGTCATAGTTCTGAGGCGCAGGATGTTGTCATTCCTACTGAGCAATCAAAGTCTGCTTCTGCTTGGGTTGAAGCTGCTCTCTCCACTGATCTTGCGGTTGTTTCCCTTCTCACTGGCCAAAACACTGAGTCTGTACCCCCACCTTCCCTACCAAAGAGCTCTTCAAAACGCCAATCTATAGGAAGCACAACTAAAAACCACTCAAAAACCTCTTCAACAGTGTCAGAATCACCTAAGAAGACATGGACAAGAGGCCTCGGAATAAGAGACACAGTAGAGCTAGCTATTACTTTAAAGTCTGAGATGGAGATGTGGTTTTTGAAGTTTGTGGAAGAATCATTAGATGCTGGATTTCGTGTTTTCAGCGAGTGTGGCAACAGTGGTGGCCGGAAACTGCCAGTTGAATGTGGATCAATTGCTGCAATTTTGTCACAGTTGAAGAGGATAAATGACTGGTTAGATCTTGTTGTCAAGAAAAGGGATGAAGTGTTAACTGACAAGATTGAACGACTCAAGAGGAAGATCTATGGTTTCGTTATTCAGCATGTTGGAACAACTTTTGACAACAACTCGACTCCTATTTCTTCATCTTAAAAGGTCCAGCCCTTAGTCAATTAAATAACAAGGTGTTCTTATCAGCAATTCGTTGTCTTTCGTAGAACTATTATGCTTGTGTCATTGTTTGATGTCTTAAGCTTGTTAGAGTTCTCACAATTAATCTGTAATTTGCTTCCTTTGCAAATAAATTATTCAAATATTTTGCGTATAGAAATGGGTATTTCTGCCTCCAATTTTTCAGATCAATCTTCATAATATTTCCATGCTTCATACATTTAATTTGCATGCCTTTTTTTTTCAAAAAATTTATACAGTTAACAAATATTCAGTCAAGATCTTGTTATTTTAAGCGCGAAGTCTATTGCAATATTTCAAGAAAATAGAACTTTTATGAGGAATAGTTATTTCCAGAGTCTAACCACTTCTGTTCATGCATTTTCCAGCATCTTTATTTTAACTCATGACAAGGTGGTGATCTGCAACCCGCCGCTCTTTGTAAACAGAGATTATTTCTCTAAGAAGCTTTGCATGTACAACCGAAATTTTTCCAATTGTATATTTCTATAAAAACAAGCTCATAATAATATTATTAATTCATTGAATTTTCATGGCTTCCTTAATGGAAGATATACATTTTCCTCACCTTTCCATCCCTGTAACTGTCAAGCACAAGGAGGCAGTGCTTCCTGCAGGCCCAATCCCTGTCAACCATGGAGACACTCTCTATCTCTCCAACTTGGATGACATAATTGGTTGCCGGGTTTTTACCCCTACTGTGTATTTTTACCACTCGACTCCATCCATGAGCAAGAATGTGGTAGAAAAACTACGCGATGCTCTGGCTCTTGTTTTAGTCCCCTACTATCCCTTCTCAGGGAGGATTAGGGAGACCAGCAATGGGAAATTAGAGATATTTTTCGGGCCTAATCAAGGTTCTCTTATAGTTGAAGCTCACTCGTCGATAGCCTTAGCTGACCTAGGGGACTTGTCAACCCCAAATCCTTCATGGTCACCATTGATATATAGATTTCCTAATGAGGAGCCATATAAAGTTGTTGACATGCCTCTGTTAATAGCACAAGTGACTTATTTTCGCGATGGAGGCTTTAGCCTTGGTTTGAGAATGTGCCACTGCCTTTGTGATGGCATAGGTGCTATGCAATTCTTTAATGCTTGGGCTACCACGGCTAGAGTAGGAACTTTAGTCGCTTCTCCTAAACCATGCTGGGACAGGGAATATTTCCTTCCTCGAGATCCACCACTCATAAACTATCCACACATTGAGTTCATGAGTGTTGTGGATGAATCAAGCCTGACAAGGTCATTGTGGGAAGTGAAGCCGGTACAAAAATGTTATAAAGTCACCAAAGAATTCCAAGAACAAGTCAAGTCTTTGGCCCAAGAAACCAATAAAGATACTAATTACACTGCATTTGATGCTATGGCTGCTCATGTGTGGAGGTCTTGGGTGAAAGCTCTGGATGTGAAGCCATTAGACTATGAGCTACGCCTCACTTTCACAGTCAACACCCGCCACATGCTCAAGAACCCGCCATTGAAGGATGGATTCTATGGAAATGCAGTGTGCATTGCTTGTGCCACAAGCAAAGTTGAAGAGCTTATCGATCACCCACTCCCTTGGACAGCTGATTTGGTAAACAGAGCAAGGCTTAGTGTTAATGAGGACTATGTAAGGTCCACAGTGGACTATGTCGAGGTTAGAAGGCCTAAGACACTTGAGTTTGGGGGCAAGTTGACAATAACACAATGGACAAGGTTTCTACTCTATGAATCAGCTGATTTTGGATGGGGAAGACCTGCTTATGCTGGACCTATTGACTTGACACCAACTCCTCAAGTTTGTGTGTTTCTTCCTGAAGGTGGGATTAATGCTGATGGCATGCTAGTTTGCCTTTGCTTGCCAGAGACAGCCTGTAAGAGGTTCGAAGAGCTTTTCTGCCTCATTGACAAAGCCTAGATTGAGATCGATGAAGTACCACTATATAAACTCTACTGTATTAGCCATATAAAGAGAATACTTAGTTTGTTTGCTTGACCTTGCATTGTCTTAAGAAAATGTATAAGCTCCCTCCTACAAAAAGTAAATGCAAAAGTTGTTATTTCAGTATAACTGTTTTTCCTATAATTCATTTTATTCAGTTTTTTTTTTTTTTTTTTTTTTAGGGAAGCTGTCATACTCGGAGAAAAAATAGACTTAATACTAACTCAGGGTTTTAATTAAGTAAATTTCATATTTGTGTTTTCAATAGATTTTCATTACCATCCATTGCAGGAGGCGGTTTTGAGTAGTATTGGGAATTTATGAAGGAATGCAGATTCTGTTCTGTAACAGAACATGTACTTAGTGTAAAAATATGTTCTGTTTAATGGTTTCAGAAGAATAAGTAGTTCAGAATTAGTCCTTTTTCATGCAGTGCAAGTTAGATTTATCCTCGTCTATATAATGCAATAAGGTAATATTATGTACAAGTTTATATGAATACATCATTGTATGAATCACAGAAGTTTTAGATAGCATTATATTGTAACAAAGATATGGCAATACTCCAATTTCCCAAACAATCTAAGACCAAGATGCTTCTTCAAAAGCAGCTTCACCACAGGGGAATAATTCCTTATTATCTTTTCTACTTTTCTATATAATGCCCCAATGCTATCTCTGTTGCATCAGGAATAACTTTTGATCCATGCCAAAGGTCACTTATGGCATGCCTGAATCCAAATCGACGTGTTGCTGAGCTGTCCCCTGAGCACTTATGTGACTAGACTGCGCAATTCCACATAGGCCGAGAATTTGGCAAATGCACATTCCAAGTGAGCATCACTTGCAATATCCACATGTAGTCTTGTGCCTCAGCATATATAGAGACAGTTCAGATTTCCAACTTTCTAATAGAAAGTAAAGGGAATAACTGATAGTGCAAGTGTGTTAAGACTTAACTCTTGAGTTTAACAAAAATTGAGAATTAAGCCTCATGTAGTAGAGTAATTGATTTAGATAGAGTAAGCAGAAAATAAAATTTGTATGTTTTATAGAGCCAATTGGATTGAAGTTAACAACAGAAAATCCCTTCATACTTCCCTTTTTCCAAGATTCTAACTTTGCATGACAGTTAGGCAACTAACAAAAGGTGAAAAGTTAATCATTTTTTTACTTTCTCGTCTGGTTTGTTAGACAAATACACTGTTTTGAAACACGTGAATTGAACGTTGCCTCACAAATCTAAAGGATTTTCAGAGGATAATACTATTATTGGCATGGTGTACTGATTCACCAGAATATCTCCCTAAGTGTGTTAGAGTTGGAACTATGATATGCATGTTTGTGTCATGTGGCATTCGGCGTGTGGCGCCTGCCCGCGTCCATCCTCCATGAATGCTGCATAGTTATTCCCAACATGCTCTCATTTGTTCCCTTTACAAATCCATTATCTATATAAGCATCTCTCATATAGTCACCTCTCAAACACCAACTTACATCCAACTCTAGTTTTAAACACAAAACAAGTCCATTACCATCAGTACCAACATTTTCTCCCTTGTTTCCCATATTTTACTTAAAATGTCAATCAATTCAAGAATTGTTGATTTGAAAAACGCAAACATATATGCATTTGAAGCTTGTATAGAAGACGAACATTCCAAAGGCTGTGAATATTATGCTCCAAAAACACGATTAGAAGGAGATGATGACGATGATGATGGATATGATTACGCACCAGCTGCATAGTTTTTCAGGCTTATTGTTTATTTTAGGCTCCTAGAGGATGTTAGATTATGCAGAGTACACAGTTAACAGTTTCTCTGCAAAATTTTGAGTTATAAGCTACTCCTACACTTTCTAGTTAATCGCGGTAGTTTGGTGTCAAACAACTGTTGAACTTGTTACAGGATTATATCAGTTAATCCAAATTGAAAAATATTGAAAATTTGAAACAGATGATTGTTATTCTGCACAGATTCTCTTATTTTCTGGTCCTAAGAAACCCAAAAAAACAAAATCTTAACTGCAGCAAATGTGCACTTTGTTATTATTCAGAATTTCAGTGTGATTATCTCACGGAACAGAATAAGTGTGCAATAAGTCCTTGAAAACCACATTTCTTGGTACTGTTATAAAATCAAAAATGTTTGATGTACTACCTATAGAATTGTAGTTCAAATTACACGTTTAACATGACAAGTAGTTCCAAACAGAAGATTACTCCATATAATCTAATTTAAAGTTAAACATACAAGTTCCACTTTTATTCAACAATTAAACCATACATGGAATTGACCCAACAATATAAATCAATACCATGATAATACAGTCTTTATTTTCAAATAAAAGTCATGCTAATAAATTTGTCTTTTCTCAGGTGTGTTTAAAAATATAAATAAATAAATAAATAAAAAGGACACAGTAGCATTGTTACAAATTTTACTATACAGTGGAAATTCATTAGCAGTCCCACCTCCCAACTTTAGTAGTTGTGGTGTTAAATGTTGAATCCCATTAGTGTGATTAGTCCACGCCCCATAATTGAGGAAAAGAGGAGGAATTGATGCTTTCTTTAAGCATTTTTATACATTGTGCTTTAGTCTTTAGATTTTCAAATTCAAACTTGACAATTTGGTGAAACAAGCATTATGGAAATTTAACATAAAACTTTTGTGCAAAACTCAACAAGTTTATTTCCTAAATTTTTTGAGTTAATATTGAGATTGAATTTTAGTTGCATCATTATACATTTATACCTTATTTATCATCATTGCACGGCTTCTTCACTCCCCTAGCAAAATGATACCGCTTATGTTAATAGGGTAGGTCTAGTGGCAAATTAGCAACACCTATTGTAGAGGCATATTAAATGACAAATGATAGTATATACGTAGCTTAAAGTAGAAAGATTAAACAGCAAAAAGTAGACATATTTAACATTCCGTCAAAAATAAGAAAGGTTAAACAGTAATAACACTATAACACCGAACTAAAACAAAATTTTGTTACAAGCTCCTCACTTCGTTTCACAACAAAATAGTACAGTAGTTCGGTGAAAAAAAAAAAGGCACCAGAATTGCCAGTCCAATAAATAGAAGTTGCTATAATGCTATTGGGTAACTACTAACTAAAACTTGGTTTCGCCCTTTGCTACAACATACTCCGTAGTGAAACTATAGTATATTTCGTATTAAGCAATGTTTTTTTCATCCTTACAGGTTACAGGTTAGGATGG